TGAATGGGTATAGCAGTAACATCCAAGCCAAGGGCAACTGTGAAGAGTAAAGACTGTAACACCAAAAATGCCTGGTGTGATTTCAAGATCCAAGAACATCAGGGAGCATAACCAGAATGCATCGCACCAAGGTCATAGGTAAGAACTAGACTGACGTGGTTTGCAAAGGGTAGGACAGAGCCCTCCCTTCCACTCCCAGCTGAGGACAAGATAGAGACATGAGTCAGCTAGGGAATCCCCATGACAAGCTTCGTGGTGCCATCAGGAAGTAGAGGAGCTCCGAGCAACAAGGGCACGAGTCTCACTTGTCACTGATCTGTGCCCAATTCTGGGCCAGGTACATAGTGGATGTGAAGGAAGAGAGAGCTGCCCAGCCGTGAGTTCCAGAAGGGCAAGGATGCTCAGGGAGTACTGAGTGAATGAATCAGTGAATGATAGATTGAATCTAGAATTGTGGTCTCCCTGGCCCTATCCTCTCTCTGCTGGGCCCTTCCACCCACCTGCCAATCGAAATGCAGGCCCTGGAACTGGGACAGACCTTGGGTTATCGCTGGAAACAGGTACTGGCACTGAGCAAGACCCATCCTGGGGAGACTCTGCTATGCTGAGGACCTACTGGGCTCCATCTGTTCATGCCCTGGATATCTGTGGGAGGTCTCCAGGTGTGCTCGGGCCATGCTGGGGCCTTCCACATGGCAGAGCAGCTCCAACCAGCCTTTCCCACTGCGAGTCCAGGGCAGACTTAGGGGAGCTGGGTGGGAACTGAAGAAGCCAGGGGGTAGGGCCTGCCACCTGGGGACAAGGCCCTGGACAGTTAGAATTTTCACCACCCAGTGTTCACCTCGAGGAGAAAAGAAAGGTAACAGAAGGATAATTGGAAGCCTTCTTAAAAAAAATTTTTTAAAGGAGAAAGAAGCAGAATGCCTAAGTGTGTAGAAAGCTCTATTTAAATTTCTTGTCTGTAGCATATACTCCAACCTATAATTAGGGTTTTGAAAAAAAAAAAGAATAATTATGAAAATTTCTGGGCTTATTAAAGACACACAATTGACATCCAAAATTGTTTGAGTTAGAAATAATGCTGGCATGAGTCTCTATTAGGAGACCCAGAGGGAAGGAACTTTGGTTTTTAAAAACTCTAAGTTCCAGATGAACCCAGAGCATCATAGGTCACCTCAGGTAACATATCCCTCCTCAGGAAGGAGGTGACACAGGGTCTGTCTCTACAGCAATGCCAGCTTGGCCCAGCTCGCCTGCTCAGGGTATGTTGGCCTTGGTGAGCGGGGATCTTCTGGGGCGCCCCACACAAGACGGCACCATTTCTCTGGTCAAGGGCTGTTTGAGCGTCTCTGGCTCTGTGTTTTGCTGAGGCAGCTGCCCTGCCCTGGGCTGCTCAGGACACCAAGGAGCAATGAAATTCCTATGATCCTTTGGGATATTTCACAACTCTGGAGTCAGACTGCCTGGACTCCATTCTGTGCCACCACTCACTAGCTGGGTGGCCTTGACACGTCCCTCTTCTGCAATGAGCTGGCCCAGAGGGTGTGAGGACAGCTGGAAAACCTCCTCTGCAGGAGGCTGATCACTGCTGCTCCCGAGTCCCAGCTGCACACCTCGCCATGTGCCAGTCCAGGACAAGAGCTCCTGGTTCCGCATGATGGGAGGCTGGACAGGACGCATGTTGGGTATGGCAGCAGAGTGGGGGACACTGAGGTTGTAGGCAGAGACAGAACACCCCAACAGCCTTCTCACAGGGCCCAAGAGGGCCATCCCTTTGTGGTAAGAATGCATGCCACAGGCAGACTCTCAAAGGCGGGGCTGCAGGCACTTGTTCCTAACGTCACATCTTCAAGGGCCTCCCTGCACAGCCACCTAAGTAGCCCATCCCCTTGTGACTTCCCACTGCCTTTGGTGCAGGCTCCCACGTCATGTTGCCCCTGGACCTGATGGCCCACCAGTCCAGGCTGGGCCGTGCTAAGGGCTCTGACATCTGCCACAAGCAGGCCTCGCCCCCTCCAGCACTGCCTGCCTCTAGCCACACGACGCAGCCTAAATCATGTCCTTTTCAAGCTGTCAGTGCAGAAGGCCCCTATGTGCTAGCTGCTTCCGGGGTGGGCTCCCCAGTACCATTTCCTGGTGGTCACCCTAAGGCCCTTGACCAGGCTTGCTGTGATTCCCAGAGCCACTGTGAGGTCACAGTGTGGTTGTCTGAGTTCCTACTAGAAGCTCAGCTCCCTGATTGGGCAGTGGTCAGCTTAGCTTCTACCTTGGCTGTAGGTCATTTAGCCAGTCATTGGTGGCCTGTGTTAACTCTGGGATGAGTCAAAGCCTGGACTCTAACAAAAGCCCTTTCTTTTTTTTCTTTTTTTGAGAGGTTTTTGCTATAGGGCGCGTGTGCTCGCCAGACAGACAGAGGGAGACAGAGAAACAGAAAGCGAGAAATCACCCCCCAGGGGGGATGGCCACATTGTAATCCCTTCTCCTCCATTCTCCTCTCGGGATCTTGGGCACGCACGCACACGCGCCTGGCGTGAGTTTAAGCCACCAGGTCCGGGATGTGAACCACGGTCGACTACGTGGGAGTCCAGCGACATAGCCATTATGCTAACTGCTGGTCCCAAAAGCCCTTTCTTCAAACTAATGTTCTCTCTCTAGCCTGAGGCCTAATTGCTGTCTGATTCTGGAAAGAACCCTCATGTTTCCTTAGTACTCATGGCTCTAAACTGCTAGTACCATTGAAAGAATAATAGGGCTAGCCACTGTGGTGCAGCAGTAGTGCTGGTACACTGCAAAGCTGGAAGCCATAGGGCCAACTATGGCACAAAGACACACTGAGTGGGTTGGAGAGTACCCAGGATCTTGGGGAGCTGAGGAGCTGGGGAAGGGGGATCTCAGTGTGACAAGACCTTGCCAAGGGTGCTTCTCTCTCTCTTTTTCTTGTGTGCTCTCTATCATAAAAATTAATAATAATAATAATTTGAGATTATAAACCTAAATGTAATGCCTAGACTCAAAAGTTTCTGGAGGGCCAGTCCTGTGGTATAGTGGTTAGGGAACTGGATCCCACACGGCCGACCTGTTCAAGTTCTGTCCCCAGTAATTTGGAAAACATGCTGGGTGCATGCATGTGCGCGCATGCTCGAAATCCTGACAGGAAGGAGAAACGGAGAAGGAATCGTGGTGCGACCATGCCCCTCTGGGAGGTACTTTCATCCTCTCTCCCTGGTGAGTGCATATGACCTCTGGCAAAAACAAAATCCTGAGAAAAAAATAGGATAATATCTTCATGGACTTGGGCTAAGCAAAGCTTTCTGAGACAGGGCACAAAATGCACTAATCATAAAAAAGAAAGAAACCCAAAAAAGGACAGAATAATGAACTGGTTGTCAAAAATAAAAGTTTCTGCTTTTCATCATTTCTACCATTAAGAAAATGAAAACCACAGAGAGAAAAAATGTTTGAAAGGCATATATCTGATGAAGGAATTGAACCCAGAATATATAATAAAACTTTACAGATCAAAATAAAAGAACAAACAAGACAACGTGGAAAATGAACGTCGGACGTCATGAAGGATATCTGTGACTGGCCGAGAAGCACGTGACAGAGGCCCCACGTTAGTCAAAGGGAGCTGGAGACGGAACACAGCGAGACATCATTCCACACTCCACGGGATGGCTAGCCGGTTGGCTCCTCAGTGCAGCACTTCAGTGGTGTGCCTAGAAAGCCAGATCCCACATGGCCGGGGTTCGAATCCCAGCTCCAGAGGCTTGAAAACTGCTGGGCAAGTGTGTGTGCTTGCCCCAAATCCTGACTGGATGGAGAAACAGGAAAAAGACTGCAGCATGACCACACTCCATCAAGACGTCATCCTTCTCTCTCTGGTGAGCATATGGGCCCTCTGGCAATCAAAAAAAGAAGAAGAAGAAAAAAAGAACTAAATTAAAAAGACTGATAACACCAAAGACCAAAGGCCAGTGAGGATATAAAACAACTGGAACTCTCATATATGACTGACAAGAATGTAGAATGGTGGAACGGCTTAGAGAGCTGAGTTTCCTATATACATATACCTGTGACCTGATCGGGTGATTCCATGACTGATCATTCACCTAAGAGAAGAGGAAGTCCGTACTTAGAGACCTGTTCAAGAATGTTTATAGAAAACATATTTATAATAGCCCCAAGTTGGAAACAAACCAGATGTTCCTACATAGAAGAATACATTCTAAAAGATGATCGATTCAGGCCAGCTCTGTGAACTGGTGGTCAAGGCAGCCGGATCTCATATACCAACCACAGTTTAAATACTAGACCAGGCAGCTTGAGAAACATGCCAGATATGTGTGTGTGTGTGTGTGTGTGTGTGTGTGTGTGTGTGCATGCCCAAAATCTCAAAAGGTGAGAGAGATGGGGGAGAAGGTTTTTTAGTGTGAACATTACCCATGGGGAGTGCTTTCTTCTCTCCCTTGTTCTCTGTCTGTCTGGTGAGTGTACATGTCCTTTAGCCAATCAATACATAAAAAATTTAAAAATAAATAGATAAATAATGATATATCCACACAATGGAGTACTATGCCCCAGAGAAAAAGAAACTAACTACTATTATGATGAACCTCAAAAACATTGTTCTGAACCACAAGAAAAATCAGAAAGGTCTGGTCCTGTGGCCTTGTGGTTAACGGAGCTGGATCCCACTTGGACAATCATGCGATTTGAATCCTGGAGCCGGCACCTTGAAAAACATGCCAGGCAGATGTGTATGCATGACCAAAATTCCGAGAAAAGGGAGAAATGGAGAAAGGATTGTAGTGTGACCATACTCCATTGGGGTGGGGGAGTGCTTTCTCCCTCTCTTTCTTTCTGTCTCTCTCTCTCTGGTGAGTACATGCACGTTCTGGAAAAAAAAAATGAAAAAAAGAACAAAAAGCCAGAAATCAAAGAACAGAGCCAGGCAATACACAATATGATTCCATTTACATCAAGTTCTAGAATGGGCGCGAGTCATCCTTTATGCAGGAATGAGGAAAGGTAGCTCCTGGGAGCAAGGAGGCAGAGCTTGACTGGAGGAGGTGAGGGACTTTGCAGGGTGATTGAAACATTTACTGGCGACATCTTGTTTGGGATGATGGTGACACAGGTCTGTGCAACTGTCAACACTCGTCAGTTGGAATATTTAAGATCTATGCATCTTAAATATTGGATGTAGGATTGTTAATGTAAAACTCTATTTTTTAATTCTATTTTTAAAGAAGTCACTGTCCAGCACTTACTGAAAACACAATGCACAGTGATTGACTGTATCCATGGTCTCAGCACCCCCAAGGGTGGGACCTGTGATGAGGAAACAACCTCTGAGGGGTGGCAAAGGCGGCTGAAGGGGAGAGACCAAACCTGACCCTGCGGCCGAGGCTTTATCCCCTCCAGTTACCTCTTGGTTTCTCATTTTGTTATCGCACTTGTTACAGAACCTTGCAGGCACTTGGAAATGTACTGGACCGCAAATGTGGATTCCAGTCATGGCCAAATGCTGGGGAACGCCGCTCAGTGTCAGGCACCGAGGGGCTGAGAGACAGCGGTGAAGGATGGGCCAGCTTCAGGAGCCTGCCACCCGAGGGGCCCCACACCGGGGTGTTTGCTGTGCCTGCTGCTTCTTTCCAACCACCTTTGAGCTCTGGCTTGGGTTTATTTTTTTCTTGCCTCCTCTACCCTGTCATCCACACAGAAACCAGGGGGATTGTTTTCTTCCAAAAAACTAATCTGTGCCACTCTCCCATTTAAAGCCCTTATGTGCCCACGCTCTGGCATGATGCCTCATGTATTTCTCTCATTAATCTTGACACAGTCCTGTAAGGTAGGAGGGAGATACTACATTTGCTAACTTGCTGGAGATCATAATTTGCACTTGTGGAGATTGGAATTTGGCTGCCATGTCTGTGCACGGAGTTACACCGCACACAGCTTCTGCTTTTTCATTTTTCCCTCTCTAACCCATCTACAGTGGGCTCAGTAGTGTACCCCCAAAAGATATAGCCAAACCCTGGTATCTATGAATGTGACTTTATTTGCACATGGAGTCTTTGCAGGTGTAACCAACTTAAAATGAGACTATATTGGATTAGGAAGGCCCTAACTCCAGGGGTGGTGTCTTATCAGACGCCATGTGAAGACACAGGGAGAGCACCATGTGATGAGAGAGCGGAGGCTGGAGTGATGAAGGTATAAGATAAGGAGCACCCAGGATTACGGGCAACTCCCAGAACTGGAAACAGCAAGAAAGGGCTCCTCCCTGGAACGTGGCCCTGCCCAAGCCCTGAATTTGGATTTCACAATGGAAGAGAACAAACATTTCTGTGTTATTGAATGGTTTATTGAATATGCTATAGGGTACATGTGCTTGCCAGAAAAAGCTAGGGAGGGGGCCGGACGTGAAATGGCCACACCACAATCCTTCTCCTCTGATCTCCTCTTGGGATTTTGACACACATGTGCCCATGAGATTTTCAAGCTGTGGGTCTGGGACTTGAACTACACAGGCAGCCCCCTTAACTGCCATACCACCTACCGGCTAGCCCAAGTTTCTGTTGTTTTAAGTCACCCACATGAAGGTTTTATATTAAGTCATCCCTAGGAAAATGATAGACCATCTTACTCTTCTCATGGGCCATGCTGGGTTTTCCTTCTGTAGTTTTCCTTGTCCATCCACATACTAAAGGCTCTGAGAAATCCCACAGCCAGAAAACCCATTGACTTTTTTTAAAAAAATGAATTATTATTTTAAGAATGATTTGAGGGACCAGCAGTTGGCGTAATGGCTATGTCGCTGGACTCCCATGTAGTCAACCGCGATTCGCGTCCCTGGACCTGGTGGCTTAAAACTCATGCTGGGTGCGTGTGCATGCGTGCCCAAGATCCCAAGAGGAGAATGGAGGAGAAGGAATTGCGGTGTGGCCATGCCCCCTTGGGGGTTATTTCTCGCTTTCTGTCTCTCTTTCTCTCTCTGGCTTTCTGGCGAGCGCACGCGCCCTATGGCAAAAAGCACTTCAAAAAAAAAAAAAAGAATGATTTGAATTTCACTTTATTTATTTATTTATTTTAAATTTTAACAAAAGAGGGACAGAATAAGAGAGAGTGAAAGTGAGAAAGCAAGCAGCCTGGTCTGAGATTCAACCCACGGTCATCCATGTGCGAGTCCAGCACCCTTAACCACTATGCCTTCTGCCAGCCCTGTCATTCAATGTTTGCTTAAATCAAGTGTTGCCCAAGCAAATTTGGCAGTGGGACTCCTTGCTTACAACATGCCTTTTAACATGGTGTGAGTTGGGGTTCCAGGAGGCACACTGTGGAAAATGCTGTTAAAAGCCAAACAGGCCTCCTTCCTGGCTAACACGGTTGTAACCATCGCACCCAGAGGTCCTCTTGAGGAACACACCTTCTCGATTGAACCCACTTGAACTTATTTATCACGTTTGACAGCCCCTTGACACACTCATCAGCACTGGGGAGGAAAAAAGACCTGAAGAGATTTAATCACTACAGAAACGGCTATGAAAATGCCACTCACCAGCAGTGAACACGATGGTAATATTTAATCTCGGACAGGGACCCACAGGCAAAAATAGCAGAGGCAGATGCTGGCTTGTGTTGTTCCGTGTAAGTGTGAAAGACAAGAAGTCTGAAATCTGGAGCAGCCGGTGGGAACTCTGCATTTAGCTTCTGCAGAGGAATTTCCCCAAAGGCAAACCTGAACGCTTCAATCACTGCTCAGCGATGCTGAAGTGTGCCTCTCTCAGAGCCAAGAACGCCTCAGAGATAACCCCACAAGCCAGCCTTGCAAAACCTCCCTTTTATTGGTACAGGGTGAGAAGCAATGTGTGCTTACCCTCCGCGGCTGCAGATACCAGGGCCACACACTCGCTTAGTGTGCAAGGAGCTGTTTCTGCCCTGACCCCACAGCGTTCTCACAAACGGACACTCTACGGCAAGGTCAGGTAATGCACGAAGCACCTGGCATCTTGCTGCCATTTCCCTGCCACCCATTTCTAATTGTTTCACTTCTTTTTTTTTTAAAGAATTATTTTATTTAACTTTATTTATTATTATATCATTATTATTTTTCCATTTGATCAGAGAGAGACAGAGAGAGAGAGAGAGGGAGGGAGAAAACAAGCCACCAGGCCCGAGACTTGAACCGTGGTCGGCCATGTGGGAGTCCAGCGCCTTTTAACCACCACGCCACTTGCCGGCCCCAAATTGTTTCACTTCTCAGCAGACATGTCACTGCCTCCAGGAAGCCTTCTTTGACTCTTCTGCCTTCTGAATCCTTCTGCTTTAATCCCCCCAAGTACCTTGGATGTCTTCCTTGAGGTGCTGGCACCACACAATGACTTGCTCAGTGACTCTCCCCGCCAGACCATGGGCCTCAAGAGGGCTGGATGTCATGGCTACCACTGTGTCTCTGCTCAGCGTGTGGCCCGAGAGGGCATCAGAACATAGCTGATGAAAGAACGTCTGCCCCTCCTTGGGGTGCCCCTCGGTCCACACTGCCATGCCCACAAGCGTCCTTTTCCTGTCTGCTAATCTCCCAACATCTGGGGGGAAAGGTCTTCAGAGTCATGAGCACACTTCTGATTGTGTGTTTTTATGTTTTTAAGGCTTTTGCCATAGGACATATGTGCTCACCAGAGAGACCGAGAGAGTGAGAGGGAAAGCGAGAAATCGTCCCTCCAGAATGTCCACGCCTGGGACCAGCAGTTAGCGTAATGGCTATTAATATAATCTCTTCTCCTCCATTCTTCTCCTGGGATCTTGGGCACGCACGCACATGTGCCCAGTGTGATTTTCAAGGCACCAGGTCCAGGACTTAAACCATGTTCATCCTTGGGACCAGCAGATGGCCTAATGGCTATGTCGCTGGACTCCCATTTAGTCAACCACAGTTCCCAGTTTCCAGATCCGGTGGCTTAAACTCACGCCGGGTGTGTGTGCATGCGTGCCCAAGTTCCCGAGAGGAGAAGGGAGGAGAAGGGATTGTGGAGTGGCCATCCGCCCGGGGGGATGGTTTCTCACTTTCTGTCTCTCTTTCTGGTGAATGCTCGTGCCCTATAGCAAAAACCTCTAAAACAAACAAACAAACAAAAAGCCATGTTCATCCATGTAGGAGTCCAGGACCTTAACCACGACACCACCTGCTGGTCCCTCCCTTCTGGTTATGTTGCCACATCGCTGGGCTCAGGGTTGGGTGCGTATAGTGGCCTCAGGCTGATGCGAAGATTTCCATCCTGCAGCACCTATCTGCGTCACTTGCTCTGTTCAGTTCAAGTCCCAGCTGTCACGTCCCATTTGGGACGCAGCTGGAGGTTATGAAGAAGACAAAGATTCCAGTGATGGGTCCACGCCCTGTTTGAGTCTAAGGAGGTCCCAGTGGGCAGTCACAGGAGGTCTCTGCTACGGGGTCACACAGAGCCAGTTCTCTGAATGTGCGTATGGGCAGCAAATCAAGCTAGCAGCAAGGCTGTTTGCTTAGCCGGTTCTGTGTCTCAGCTACATCAGGTACCTGACTCCAGGCTTGCCTTTAACTAGTGTGCATAGATTCCAGGTCAGAGGTCAAAGCAATGCAGAGGTCAAAGCAACGGATGACTCCTCCTCCCCAGGCCTCAGGCTTTCCAAAGCTCTTTCCTGCATCACAGCATAGATCCTTCTGCTCAATAGCAACATCTCCATCTTAAAGTTTATTTTATTTCTTCTTATTATTATTATTCAGTTTGACCAGGGAGAGACAGAGAGAGAGAGAGAGAGTGAGAAAGCAAGCCACCAGGTCCAGGACTTAAACTTTAGTCAGCTATTTGGGAACCTAGCGCCTTAATCATCATGCCACCTACCGACCCCACTGAAGTTTATTTCTTAAGAGAGAAAAAGAGATATAGGCACCCTCGATTCATCATACGGTAATCCCCCCTGCCAGCCTTCCAGTCGGCCAGGATTAGGGGTGTACACTGGCATGTTTCAGGTCAACCTAGGATCCAAGCCACAGACTTCCACCAGGTTTCAGCATGGCGGAGTGGCGCCTGCCACCTGCACCACTGAGCTTGGCCAACACCTCCACTTTAAAGAAGAGAACTCTGAGGCCCGGAGATGTGAGATCCTTTGGCTAAATTCACAGACTTGGAACTTCTGACTTCAGACCAGTGCTGTCTGACATCATTTTAAGGGACACATATGAGGGCTGAGTTGGATCAACGTTAGCTAGTTTTGTTTGTTTGTTTAATAGTTACTAAGTTCCAGGAAGCATGTAAGAGTTTTACATATGCAATCTAATTTAATCCCGTTTTTAACTCTTCAAGGTAAGTGTTATCTCTGTTGTATAGATAAAAAAAACCGAGGGACAGAGAGGTTAAATAACTTTCCCAGCATAACATAGCTAAGTGCAAACAAAATATAAATGTAATGTAATATGAATGTAAGTGTAAGTATAGGAGCTGGAATTCAAACCCAGTACTGTGTATACTCTTAACTTACCTTTCTAGCAGCGAGTTTCCTGGTGCCAGGCAGACTGCAGTACGTGGTCTGGGTGACAATTCAAATTTAGCAGTGTCCCTGATTGCCTGTCAGAGTTGGGGCGGGAGGCAACCCTGACTATCCTCCTCTGGTACAGACGGGCATGACTGGGAGGGCTAAGGGGGCCTTGGGGCTGCAGAGAACTCTTGGCCCAATGAAGATAGCCTGGGACTGGCCATTGCCTCTGGGGCCCTGACCCCTTGCTGTGCTTGCTATCCCTCCCTGGGACGTGGTTCTCTCTGCAGGTCTGTGCTGAGAGCACTCTGGCCTGGACCCCTCAATTCAGAGCTTCATACATATCCACCTGTTTGAGGTCTGACTCCCAGAGAGCAGCAACCCTTGTGTCCTCTCCCGCCCGGTGCAGAGTGGGCCGCTGCCTTCATGGTGGTCACAGGGAGGGCTGATCCTGCCACCTATGGGTGTGGGGCCGTGGGCATGTTCTATAGCTTTCCTGGAGCTTTGATTTCTTCATCTGTAAAGTGGGGACACTAACACGTATCCCACGAGTCCTCAGAGGAGTCAAGGAGGTAACGGGGCCAGCGCGGAGTAAATGCTCTGTAACTGTTAGCTCTGATGCCGATGCTACTGCCAAAGGCAACAGCAATGACAAGGTGTGAGCTGCCTACCCAGGTTCCACCATGCCGGACCACTTGCTAACATCACTTAGACCAACCTAAGTGGAGATGAGCAAAAGAATAGTTGATGACCTGTACAAAGTTGGCTGAATCGTCTTTGTCATTTGTAGCTGGGCTCGGGCTCTTTCAATCTGTGAGTTCGAGCAAGTGACTTAGCCTTTCTGAGCCCTTCCACTCTGAAGAAAATTTGCCTGCAGCATGAGGTCTGGGTCCAATTCTGGAGAGATGGAGCTGGGCCATCCCAGGGCATCAGGATGTCAGTGGCTCCCATGGCAAAGTCGAAATCGCCCACCCTGACCCACTGGCATGGTGGCAGGGGCTGTCCCTGAGGGTGAGCTGGCCAAGCTGGAACACAGGCAGGTTGTGAGACAGCTGTGCCACCTCCCATCTCAGGAGTCCCTCGGCTGCTCCTCATTTCTTTGAATGTTGCAGTCTCTTCCCAGCTGCCTACCTGCTCACCAGTCCAGCTCTTTCTGTGCCAAAATAGCCTTCTCCCTGTGAGAAGGTGCCCAGTCTCTGAGGCCAGATCCTGGCCGTCACACCTGCCACCTGGGTAAACACGGAGGGAGATGTGAGTCACGAGCCCCTGAGGCCCTGGAGACCTGGGCCAGGCACTAGGGGGCCAGGATGACTCGGACCTTCCCTGTCCTCACACTGGGTGTGGAGGGACACCAGAGCAGGAGCAGGGTCTCTGCACTCGAGCACGCTCAAGTCAAGCCCTGGCCTTGCTGCTCGCTAGCATGTGAGTTTGTGTGACCTTTCAATTCTCCTGGCCTCAGTTCCCTCATCGGTAAGCTGGGTTAACAATATTGCCCACCTCAAAGAATTGAGGGGATAAAATGCACTCGGCCCAGGGCCTTGAGCACAGCAAATACTCAGTCATTACCAGCCATCGTCAGTGCTTTGCTACTCTTTATTGAGAAGCCCATGGTTGGAAGAAGAAATCTGGGAGCCAGGACTGGATGCAGTGGGGGACTGGAGAAGGGACACCTGGTGCTACTGGACATGTCAGAGGTGCTGCCAGGGTGACCGTAAAGAAGGAACTCCCAGGAGGACGGGAGATGAAAGGGGCACAGCCTTCCCCTGCCCCCCAACCACTGATACGTGGGCACACCTTGTCTCCCATCCAGGGCTGCACAGCAGACGGGCCACGATGTGCATCGCAGAAGAGCCGAGGTGCACTGGGGGCAGTGGTGGTGGGTGAGAGGGCAGTCCCTATGACTCTGATGATCAGGAAAGGCTTCATGGGAGAACTGGATTTGTCATGGACTCTAAGAACAGTTGCCTGTGGGTCATGGAGACCAGGTAGAGCAAAGCACAGAGACAGTGTGGGGAATGGGGAGTGAGGCTGTGGGTGTTTGGTGAGTGGATTGAGCTGGGGTCCTTCCGGTGACAGACAGGTGGCAGAGGCCTGGATGCCCCTGGAGTAGTGCCAGTGGGTGAAGTGACAGTCTAGCCTGGATCCTAGGAATGCTTGTGCCCTGTTGGGCACAACCCCGTGTGTGGAACCCACAGCCCATGGGCCACTGAGGAAGGGCTTGGCAGGTGCCAGGGGCCTGACCCTATCTGATTGGCCAACTTTGCAGCCCAAAGCAGGGGCCCTGTTGCGTGGGCTCCCCATCATTGTCTCATGATTTCCCTTCTGCTTTCTGGGGCCATCTGTCCTGCCCAGCACTCTGCATCTCCCTTCAACCGGCTGCCTAGACCCCATCCACCTTGCCCAACTCTGTATCCAATCCATCTGCAAGTCCCCGGCCTCCAAGGTCCTGTATGTTCTGGCCCTCAGGCCCTCCCAGACCTCGGTTCCCACTCTCTCTTGCTCCCTGCATTTTAGCTACTCGGCCTCCCCGTCATTTCTCACATACCCCCAAGCACACACCTGCCTCGAGGTCTTTGCTCTTGCTGTTCCCTCAGATACCCTCATGGCTCGCTGCGTGCCTCCACCCAGGTCTCTGCTCTCATGTCACCTCCTAGAGAGACTGCCCATGACCCCTCAGCTAGAGCAGCTTCCCCACCCCTCTCTTTTCCTGTCATCCTGTTATCGTCTCATGTCTCTTATCAGCCTGAAATGGTCTCACATATTTGTCCATGTGTCTGCTTCCCACAGCTCATCTGCCAATCATGGGGCCAGGGACCATGGCTGTCTTGCTGATTGCTGGACTCCAGCGGGCTTCACGGTAGAACAGCAAGGTGTGCTCATGTGCTCGGGGGTGGGTAGGGGACAGGTGGGTACGGGGAGTTGAGGCTTCAGTGCCTGGGGTTGAGTGTGAGAAAAGAGGGTAAAGCCTGGGTAGTTGGATCCCAGAGCCTGGGACAATCTTTCCCTGCTGACTCTAAGGCACTGTGACACAGACCCCCAAGCCTTCCAGGAAGCAGGGGCTGGGGGTGGGGATATAGCTCCTGTTCTTGGGCTCCTATTTTTAACATTTTGCTATGGAAACTTGAAAGCATCTGCAAGAGTAGAGAGACTGGTACATACCATGTACTCATATCGCTCTGCTTCCACAAGGATCATCAACTCCTGCCAAATCTCATGTCATCTATTCTGCACCCCCCAGGTTTCATCTGAAGCGAATTCATGGGCCCTCCTTTTGTGTAGAGAGCTTAGTAATATTTCCTGGCGAGTGCTTTCTGCAGCCTTCCAGTCCCACCCCACCCCACCACTGCCGGAAGTATCCTGAGTCCTCGGGTGCTTTGTCTTCTTTCCCAGTTAAATCTCGCTCTCAGAAAGAGGTCGGCTAAATATATTCCCACTGAAGCAGAAATGACTGAGACGTGCATGGTCACCGGGATGGCGCAATCATCCAAATCCCATACTTCAATGGCGGGGTGTGGGCTCCTTCGTAGTCAGGCTGGCCCATCCCAGGTCACCTGCAGGACCATGGCTGGCTGGGTCAGAGGTGGTGACATTGCTGCTTCGGTGCCCTGTGGGGAGGGAGGGAGGTGCAATGGAAGGAATGACTGCTGTGAACTGGGGCCCAAGTGTCTTCAGGACCACCTCGATGATGAGAGGTGGGGCAGGCTGCTGGTGAGAACTGGGCTGACCCTCATCACAACCACGGCTAGAGGGGCTCATGCACCCCCGCCCCGTCCCCTATCCTATCCTTCTAAAATGTGACCTTTGCTTTTCTTAAAGTTGGTCAAGTGCCATTTCACTGGATAGTGTTTTCACTTAGATTGCATGGCCACCCTGCCAAGGTGATTTTATTACTGTAAAATGTGGGAAACTCCATTTTGAGTGGAAAATAATACAAAGCAGATTTTGCTTCACATGTTGAAATTCGTTGGAAAATTGAGATCTCAACCAACAACTCTTTTCATGATAGTAAAATAAAGACCCCCCAATACCTCCTCATGTTTCTGGCTCAGGTGCCCCACCTCTCCCCCAAATGATGGCACTGCCCGTGTCCTGCTGCCCACGGAGCCTGCTGAGCCTGAGAACCGCCCTGTTTCTGGGGAACGAGTTGGAATCAGGTGGATGCCACAGACCTGGGCTCATGGGCCAATCCCTCCGACCCCACTCAGGTCCTAGGCCAACTCTCCGGCCTGATTTCCCACTACACTTTGTGCAAAACTGTGGGAAGACCCCTCCTGGAGGCTACTTCTTAATACCTAGGTCCTGGCTTACAACCTTCAATGAGCAGAAGAACCAGCCAGAGAGCTTGAGACAAATCCAGATATTTGACCCCATCCCAAAGTTTTGATTCAGCCCATGAAAGACAGGGCCCTTGAGTGTGCAGAGTAAGCTTGCCTTGGTGCCTTGGAAGCAGGGCAGTGTCTGGGTATAGGCATTGCTATACCCAGAGGTGCAGTGTGGCAGGGGCCTAGAGTCGAAAATGCTGAGTTTGCCCTAGTCACTGTGTAACGTGACCACCCTGAACTTTGGTTTTCTCCTCTTAAAAGTAGGTAATAATAATGCCTACCTGACATGGCTCGTGTGGGTTATAGAAGATGATCTTCTGAGTTCAGCGTAGCACTAGGCACACCGGAAGTGCCCAGCTCACATTGGTACTGTAATTATTACTATTGTATTCCAGACAGGGTTTCATTATTGTGATCCTCCTGTCCTAGCCTCCCAGCTGGCACTTCAAGCATATGCCACCATGACCAGTTCTTTTAGACAGGGTCTCACTAAGTTTCCCAGACCACCCGCAAGCTTGTGATCCCCCTAACTCAGCCCTCCCAATTCAATTATAGGCACAAGCAACCTACACGTGGTCTGTAAGTTGAACTGGAAATTGAACCTGGGCCTCTATGTGGTCTTAGCCTGTGGAGCACAGCTTCTCAGTAGTGCATGCCACCATGGCTGGGCTTATTGCCACAACTACATATCTGCCCCCTCCTTCCACTTCCACCTTTTTTGAGAATATCATCAGCTGACTCTGAAAAAAAGGGAGAGGGCTGATATGAAGCATTTACCTATTCCTGTGGTGTAAATACTCCTGCCATGTTGGGAGTATTTAAAGCTTACCACATGATAGCATTAAATATGAACCTGGGAACAGATGTATACCATGAGCCTTTATTTGCTGGTTAAAGCCGGCTCCAGCGTACCATTCAGTAGGTCCCCTTCACTGTGATTCCCCTCTCTCCCCCACCAAGTGTGTCACTGCTGCCTCAGCTAGAGCTAGTAACTGCAAAGGGCTGTGAGCTGGTGTAATTGCTACCTCCTGCTGCAAGGGGCAGCTGGTTTTTGCACAGTTCTGTAGTCTGCATGTATTCATGGTTGATGCAGGAAATGGGAATTGTAGCCTCAAATTGCTGTCATTGGGAACTCAGACCAGAAATGATTATCAAAGAGATGATGGCTCCAACCCGCTAATATTTACCATTCGCCATGGCCTGCATGAAAGCGTGTGATGCCTCTGAGGCCGCTGCGTCTGCTTTGCTGGTTCTGGTTTTGTTCTATTTTGTTTTGATCATTGAGAAAAGCAGGCTTATGTCAGGAAACAAGCGCGGGTCTTGGAGACAGACTGTCTGGGATCAAATCCCAGCCCCGCTACCTTACAAGATCTGCGTGACCTGGGCAAGTTAGCCAGCCTCTCTGGAGCTCAGTTTGCTCCCCTGGTAAGTGGGTGTAACAGTGTGTAATACCACACTTTGAGAACTCAAGGTAGCGTATGCTATGTGCCTACGGAAAGGTCTTGAAGAGAGAAGAATCTATGAATGGGAGCTAAGCCTGTGGCCATTCCTGGGGAAAAGGCACTTTCCAAATAGCTTTTACAACACTGTCCTTGATACGGGGGTTGAGAAGCTCGTGGAGAATCCAGCCTCCATTGTATAGGTGAGAAGAGTGGACAGTCTTCAAAATGGCAGATATCAAAAGTGCGTTTTCGGGACCAGCAATTAGCGTAGTGGCCATGTTGCTGAACTCCCATGTGGTCAACTGCCGTTCGCGTCCTGGATCTGGTGGCTTGCAATTTATGCCGGGCGCATTTGCGTGCATGCCCAAGATCCTGAGAGGAGAATGGAGGAGAAGGGATTGTGGCATGACCATCCCCCCTGGGGAGTGATTTCTCGCTTTCTGTCTCTCTGTCTCTCTCTGTCTGTCTTGCGAGCGCACGCACCCTATAGCGAAAATCTCTCCAAAAAAAAAAAAAAGTGCGTTTTCTTCTCAAAGTAATCTTTTCTACATAAAGAAATATTTAAGTTCTCCCCTATAAACCCATCAGGTATACTTTTTTAAGTTTATTTTTTATTTCTCCTGTGTGAGAGAGAGACAGAGAAGGAGAGACACAGGCACCCCAACAGGTCTTCAAACCACAATCCGCCTCTAGCCTCAATCCTCTAGGACCAAGGCACATGTAGAAAGTGAGATGCCAGAAACGGGCCTGGGATGGTCCCACATGATTTCAGCATCACTGAGCATGGCGGTACTGCTGCGTCACCACAGTTAACCGAATCTTCTTCTTAACCAAGTTTGGTGGATATATTTGAGATGCTTTCGTTTAAAATATAGTTGGGGGACTGGACAATGGCACAGAAGAAGGCAATGCTCTGTGAAGCTGACCAAGTGGGAAGGTAACCAGTTCAAATCTGGAGACCTCTCTGAGTATGAAGGGCACACGTGTGCCGTGATCAAGAGCTGACCGAGGCCGGAAGTGGATCATGGCATCAGGCCTTGGTGGGGGTGTCTATCCTCTGGTCTCTTTCTCTTGGAAGAAATAAATACATTTTGGAAGAAAATAAATATTTATTTCTAAATAAATAACTATGTTAAATGGTTACATGTCCCTTAGAAGTCTGGCCATAAAGTATGAAACGCTTGGACATGTTGGAGCTACAAAATGGGTATACCCAGTTCCCAGCTGAGGAACGCTCTCGGAGAGAACCACCTGACCAGGAATACCTGCCGCACGACTTTGCATGGCCCGAGCCAGCACGGTGGAGATGCCATTCAGCTCTCTGCGGGCTACCCCGGTGTCCTCAGGCTATGGGGCAGAACTGCTCCCAGCTGGCTTTTGGCCTCTCGTGGAGGTGTGAACTCAGTGTGATCTGCTGTGTCCTTGCTACTTGGGGACAAGGGAAGCTCCATGCCGAGGGTCACAAGGACAGCCCTAAGAAACAGCCCACCATCTCCTTCCTCTCCAGGCCTGTCATTCACTCCCTCTCTCTCCCTTCATGTAGGCCCGGGAACACACAGGACCTGCTTAAGCATGAAAAGCAGAGGTCTCCTTTCAAGTTGTTACTGACCCCCAACTCTTTCCAGGATATTAGTCCATCCTTTTGTGCTCTCTCTTCATGAGGTCATACTGCTACTTGGGGTTGTACCCCAAGATTGCCATTGTTTCCTGGGTCTCGCTTGCTCCAGTTTGATTGACAAGCTCTGTTGGCTCTCCCTGTGCGGCTTTTCACTTGGATTCCTCCTGGTGACTTCCAGTGCTGCCACCTCTGCGGCCCTCAGCTTACTCACCTGGATGCAGGCACTCTCCTACCATCCTCCCTGCCTCTAGTATCCCCCTCATCATCACCTCCTCTCACCCAGAGACCCTGGACTGCCTTCTTCATCATCGTCTGGAAGCAGAGCTCCCCCAGCTCCTCGCCAGCCTGCTTGAAAACTTTCCACGTCTTTGTTGGCTGGAAATGTTAACGATTTTTCGAATGGAATCAGAGCGTCTTTTGTTCCAGAGTTTTCTCATTGTTTTCTTTCCATGGGATTGTAGAAAACATCTCCCGCCAGGCACACCCTACTGTTTTTGTGGAAATTATAGGCTGCAAATAACTGCTTAAGTCAACTGCCAGACGAGGTACTCGCTTCAGAGGGAAAATTCCAGCTGTTGAACAAGTTTCTGGGCTTTATTTTTGGAGCAAAGAGTTCATCAAGTGAAGAACAGAATTTTCCAGGTGCCTCACCTCCATTCTTATCACAAGCATGAGCATGCCCCTGAGTGGGATACTTCTTTCAAGCTCCAATTTATAACCCCAATGCTTATGCATCCCCTTTTTCTGTTGATTTAGATAAAACACTTTGGGGGGCACAGAGAGAGGAACAGAGAGAAGAGAGAGGACCTGAAAAAGAGACCAGTCCCTAATGGGCTTCTCCTGAGGCCAGATTGTGTTCTTACCTCAGGCTCCATGAGTTGATACTTTGTCTGAAGATACATCCTGGTTTAAGCCAGAAAACAAGAATTAACAGTCTCAACTGAAACCCATCAAAAAAAAACAATGTCTTTTTCTTTCTTTCTTTCTTTCTTTCTTTCTTTCTTTCTTTCTTTCTTTCTTTCTTTTTTTTTTCTTTTTTTTTTTTTTGAGAGGTTTTTGCTATAGGGCGTGTGCACTCCCCAGAAAGACAGAGAGAGATAGAGAGACAGAAAGTGAGAAATCACCCCCCAGGAGAGATGGCCATGCTGCAATCCCTTCTCCTCCGTTCTCCTCTGAGATCTTGGACACTCACGCACACACGCTGGGTGTGAGTTTAAGCCAACGGGTCCGGGACTCGAACATCTGTCGACTACAGGGGAGTCCAGCGACATAGCCGTTACATCAACGGCTGGTCTCAAGACCAACTTCTTCCCCTGGAACACTTGTGAGAAGAACGGGGTACCCCTAAAGAAGCTGCCCAATATCTGTGCTCACCCCTTGCATGTGGGCAACCTTTCTTTCCTCTAAGCATTCTGGAAACAAGCGCACATGCAGTATGTTCACCTGTGTCTTCCTCAGACCCCACGCCCCTCAAATGCCCCTGGGCTCCCTCAGCCAAGCATCTATAGATGCACCATCCATCCTTGGGCAGTACCATTCAGGACGGCACTGTGTTCTAGAACCTGCCCTACCACAGGCATCCCGTCAAAACGTATCCATGTATCCTGTCTACCCCCACCACCACCGGATCCTGCAATGAGCTGAACCCATAACTAAGCTGTATTTTGGGTTTAATGAGCCGTGCTTGGTCAGCCTTAACCTAATAACTTAGTATTCGAAATGTGCCTCACTTGCCAGTAGCAGCAGCCTCACTTAAGAACTTATTAGAAATGCAGATTCTTGGGCCCACCCAGACCCTCTGAATCACAACCTATTAATGCATCTTTAATAAGAAGGTGATTCAAATGTGCATTAAAATCTGGGAAGCACTAACCTAATATGTATTTTTGCCCTTTCAGAAGCATTATGACTTTCAGTGCTAGACAGTCCATGTTAATGTTGCCAGTAGTTTGTCATTTCACACTTTTCTAAAGCAGCCTGCTTGAAAACTTTCCACGTCTTTGTTGGCTGGAAATGTTAACGATTTTTCGAATGGAATCAGAGCGTCTTTTGTTCCAGAGTTTTCTCATTGTTTTCTTTCCATGGGATTGTAGAAAACATCTCCCGCCAGGCACACCCTACTGTTTTTGTGGAAATTATAGGCTGCAAATAACTGCTTAAGTCAACTGCCAGACGAGGTACTCGCTTCAGAGGGAAAATTCCAGCTGTTGAACAAGTTTCTGGGCTTTATTTTTGGAGCAAAGAGTTCATCAAGTGAAGAACAGAATTTTCCAGGTGCCTCACCTCCATTCTTATCACAAGCATGAGCATGCCCCTGAGTGGGATACTTCTTTCAAGCTCCAATTTATAACCCCAATGCTTATGCATCCCCTTTTTCTGTTGATTTAGATAAAACACTTTGGGGGGCACAGAGAGAGGAACAGAGAGAAGAGAGAGGACCTGAAAAAGAGACCAGTCCCTAATGGGCTTCTCCTGAGGCCAGATTGTGTTCTTACCTCAGGCTCCATGAGTTGATACTTTGTCTGAAGATACATCCTGGTTTAAGCCAGAAAACAAGAATTAACAGTCTCAACTGAAACCCATCAAAAAAAAACAATGTCTTTTTCTTTCTTTCTTTCTTTCTTTCTTTCTTTCTTTCTTTCTTTCTTTCTTTCTTTTTTTTTTCTTTTTTTTTTTTTTGAGAGGTTTTTGCTATAGGGCGTGTGCACTCCCCAGAAAGACAGAGAGAGATAGACAGAAAGTGAGAAATCACCCCCCAGGAGAGATGGCCATGCTGCAATCCCTTCTCCTCCGTTCTCCTCTGAGATCTTGGACACTCACGCACACACGCTGGGTGTGAGTTTAAGCCAACGGGTCCGGGACTCGAACATCTGTCGACTACAGGGGAGTCCAGCGACATAGCCGTTACATCAACGGCTGGTCTCAAGACCAACTTCTTCCCCTGGAACACTTGTGAGAAGAACGGGGTACCCCTAAAGAAGCTGCCCAATATCTGTGCTCACCCCTTGCATGTGGGCAACCTTTCTTTCCTCTAAGCATTCTGGAAACAAGCGCACATGCAGTATGTTCACCTGTGTCTTCCTCAGACCCCACGCCCCTCAAATGCCCCTGGGCTCCCTCAGCCAAGCATCTATAGATGCACCATCCATCCTTGGGCAGTACCATTCAGGACGGCACTGTGTTCTAGAACCTGCCCTACCACAGGCATCCCGTCAAAACGTATCCATGTATCCTGTCTACCCCCACCACCACCGGATCCTGCAATGAGCTGAACCCATAACTAAGCTGTATTTTGGGTTTAATGAGCCGTGCTTGGTCAGCCTTAACCTAATAACTTAGTATTCGAAATGTGCCTCACTTGCCAGTAGCAGCAGCCTCACTTAAGAACTTATTAGAAATGCAGATTCTTGGGCCCACCCAGACCCTCTGAATCACAACCTATTAATGCATCTTTAATAAGAAGGTGATTCAAATGTGCATTAAAATCTGGGAAGCACTAACCTAATATGTATTTTTGCCCTTTCAGAAGCATTATGACTTTCAGTGCTAGACAGTCCATGTTAATGTTGCCAGTAGTTTGTCATTTCACACTTTTCTAAAGCTTTTTCACAAATAGGAACTTGTGCGGTTATTGGAGCAGCTACTATGGTTCCCGGAGGCACTAGGGACCTAGAAGATTCCTCCCGGCAGCTCCAGCCCGGGCCTGGGCTCTGCCAGCTATTTACTCAGTAGCTGAAGATGGAGTAAAAGCAGAGCCCCTGAGGGAGACAGGACAGGGGACAGCATCTCCATTTCCCACCTGAGGAAACTCAGGCTCAGACAGGTCGAGACTGGCTCAGGCTCAGTTCATCCACAGTAGGCCAGATACTTCTATCGCTTCTGCTCTCAATGACTCAAGCTACAGTAGTTCTGAGGCTTTCTGATGCTTCCTAGCAGGGAGATTGGAGTGCTCAGGCCTGGGCCCCTTCTGTAGACTCTGATCTCAAACCTCTGCCCAGCCCCATTCTGAGTTTCTGTTGTGCTCCTGGCCGCAGGCTCTGTCCACCCAGCGCCACTCCCTCGGAGGCCAGAGGCGGAAGGCAGGTTGTGGTGGGAAAACCCACAGGGAGCTGTTCCCGGAGAGAGGAACACCTGCTCCTCCTCCCCAAGCTCCCACCTTCCCAGGGCCAGAGAGGAAGCACACAAAGGCCGGGGTGCAGTAAGGGTGAGATGCGAGGCAGGGCTAGTAATAATGGCTTCCGGTTGTGAGGTTTATGAAGTTATTAACCCCGGGCTCCCCTACCCCGCGGGCTTTGGGCTCTGGCCATCCACCTGGCGCGGGTTAGGTGTGGCCAGAGTACAGATAGGCCCTGGCGGACAAGCTCCCGCGCCTGAGCCGGAGCCTGGCCGAGGCCGACAGGCGGGCACACAGATCAGGAAGGGCGTGGAGGAGGGGTCTGAGCTCTGTGGCCCTGCATCGCAGGAATG